CGGCCGAGAACAGTGGAGTTTTTCCATGTTTTTGCAGGAAATAGGTGAGTAGCGGTCGGAAGGGAGTCGTCAAGCGGAGAGAATTGGCATTACTGTCCACCGTTACTAAGTTTTTGTACTTGTTGTTTTAGTATATGTAAAGAATTATATTTTATAAGTAAAAAAAAATTTGGGCCCAACTATTTTCATATGTTAATTATGTATGTTTTCATTGTATATGTTATAAAGTATACTAGTAGAAAGAAGTCATTCCAGTACAGTCATCATCCACACGCACTTCTAACGGACTGTATAATTATTCTTTCTGAATTTTGAGGCCACTCACTAAAGGCGGCGTGCATGTGGGGCTATGTCACTCACGGGCTCCCCATCGCAACAACCTTCTCTTCTTTTTATCTTTTTACTCTTCTTTAAATAAAAATTCAGATTTAAATATATTTAATATTCTCATTTCTTTCTATTTTCTCTTTGACACATTTTAGTGCGTTTTCATGCTCTTATGAATATGTATGCATGTAGATGGTTTCAAGCTTATAATTCTTTCTAAATTCACATATTTAAATGCAATTTTGCCTTATGGAATGCAAACATATCATTCTCTACCATCTACAAACTCATTCCAAAGTAACACATAATTATACTCATACATGCACTTCTCTTTGGCATTTCATCAAACAATTCATGTGCACAAATCAACATTAATTTGGTTACACTTCTTTCTCTATTCTAGGCTACCAAAAATTTGGAATAACATCCTCCATTATTAACGCCAAATCTGCCCAAAAAACACACTCCAAAACTTCCACTTCAATTCTTCCAAATTTCAACCAAACATTCCTCAAGTATCAAATATACCAACACAACTTCTCATGGATAGGGTTTCACTCTTCAATCCTTGATATAACATAAAATTATATTTAATTTCCCATTTTGCCCTTGTACTTTCTTTAAAATTCCATCTATGTCCCTTAGTCAATTACCATAATGCCCTCATTTTTATTGCATTCTCCATGAAATTCTATCTCTTTTCACTCCCCACAATTTCAACTATTTTGATTGAAAAGACCATTTTACCCTTAATGCAAGTTTAAGGCATTTTCTCAAAATAACTTTAACAAAAATCAACTAAAGATATAAGAGCATAAATTAAATTACATACCTCCATGTGGGCGTTACAAGTGTCAACAAATTAAGTCATAGTATCCCAACCGATTATCTAAATATCTAAATAAACCTCATATATTACCAAATTCACACTTGTTATTGGTATTTTGACAATTTATCTCATATTTTATCAAACATTTATTTAACAATCATATATAAATAAAAAATAATTCTCCCATTGAAGATCTTTTTATAAAATTATATTATTTTAAATAATATATAATAAATTATAGTGTATATTAAATCAAAATAAATTATGTCAAATCAAAACTCATAGATCTAATTCATGCACCAAGTCACATATAAAGATTGATTTGACATTTTAATATTGTTAGTTTGATTTATGTTTACAGTCAATCCTGTACTTCAATGGTGAAGACTTAAGTATTAAAATAAGAGTAAACGACATGTTCCCATGCAGGGTTTACCGAAATGGAAAGTTTTCATCGCTGGTTTCATTTATTCTGGATTCCCACTTTTAAAGTAACGTTGTTTTATTTATTTTAACCGTTACAGGTTAAAATAGTCATTTACTCCACCTCCACCTCCACCCCTACCACCATCGCCTCTTCCTCCAACACCACCACCACCACCACCACAAACAACTACCCTTCTACCCATCTTCACGCAAGCTACTTGTGTAGCAGGAAAGGATGGGTGTTGGGTTGGCTGGGCTGGTTGCGACAAATGGTCGAACATGTGGTGGGTAAGGTTGTGTACGAGCCGAGCCAAGCCGAACATGACGGTGTTCAAGCTCAACTCATGAAAAATGTTTAGAGCTCGAGCTTGGTGAGCTTTGGAAACTAGGCTCGAGCTCGGCTCGTAAAGCTTACTTCTTCCTCTTTCTCTTCAACATATTACAATTCTTCTTGCTCAATACTCTCTGTAATCAAAATCAAAATCCCTTGTGCTTGTGCCATCAAAATTACAATACACCCATCTACCAAAATACCCAACAAAATTACATCTATAATTATAAATAATATGGACTCAAATCCACCATAAAACTAATTCAACAAAACAAACCCATTTATGAAATTGCTACTTTCAATCACTCCAACATCATAAAATTTGAATAGATGTCGATTCTTCACTATTGTGAGTGAAATATTTTGTAGAAGAAAAGGCAGCTTGGACAAGGGAGGAGTGAGATAGGATTTGCGATGCCATAGAGCCTAGGTAGAAGAGCTAATGGGAAGAAGAAAGAAAGAGAAAAGAAAAGGGGAAGAAGGAAGAAGAAAAGAGAAGAGAAAGGAGAAGAGAAGCATCAGTTGTTAGTTGTTGAAGGGATTTTGGAATTGAAACAATTTATATATAAAATGATAAATAACATATAACCCCCTCATACTTGAAACACTTGCACCTCATACTTGAAAAACTTGCACTTATACCCTTTCAAGCCCATGAAGGCTCATGAGCCTATCAAGCCGAGCACTAGGTGGCTCGGGCTCGGCTCAAAAGGGCACTTGAGCTGTTCGAGCTTTTCTCTAGTCAAGCTCGAGCTGTTTGCGAATGGTTCGGCTCGGCTATACCCCTAGTGGTGGGGACGATAGGGTAACAAGGTTGGAGTGGTGGGGAGGTTTCCGACGACTAGAAATCAATGCAACAACAACACAATTGCAAACAACACTTCAAAAACAACAAACCCCACTAATCAAACATCATAACCCAATGAAAAGTGGATGAGAGGGCTACAAAACCGCGATTGTCTTGTGGCGGAAAGTGTAAGTCGCAGGCAATAAACGACGAACTGGGATGGTCAAAGGAGGGATGGGTTTTGAAGAAGAGAGGAAGGGGAGTATAAGGATGTAGACAAGGTTGATTTTCGATGTGAGAATCGGTTAGGATCTAGCCAAGAAAATACGAAAGTAGCGACGACAAGTACAGGTCGCAGGCAGCAAACGACAAGTGGGGAGGGTCAAAGGAGGGATGAGTTTTGAAGAGGTGAGGAAGGGGAGTCGAACGATGTAGACAAGGTTGATTTTCGGTGTGAGAATCGGCTGGCAAAATGCAAAAGTTGCGGCGACAATTGTAGGTCGTGGGCAACAAACGCCGGGGGGGGGGGGGGGGGGGGGGGGGGGGGGGGGGGGGGGGGGGGGGGGGGGGTCAATGAGGGATGGGTTTTGAAGAAGAGAGGAAAGAGAGTCGAACGGTACAGACAAGGTTGATTTTCGGTGTGAGAATCGACCGAGATCTGGCTTGAGAGGATGCAACAACACTTGGGGACGGAAACCAGGAAGATGAAGGTTGTTACTTTAAGGGCAGTTTGGTAATTGCTTCCTTTACACCTGTGTTAGAACCCAACAATGGCTAATAGTGTTACTTTTAAGGGTGGAAATCTGGAATGAATGAAACTAGGGGTACCAACTTATCATTTCGCTGAACCTTGGGTGGGAACAAGTGGTTTACTCTTAAAATAACTATAAAGTTCAAGACCTACCATAGATTTTTATTAAATTATAATTTCTTGAACTTTGGAAGAAAGAGAACATAAGGAGAAAATTATATAAAAATATGAATATAGAATAAGTCATAAACAAAATTTTGATATAATTTGCATAGATAACCTATACACTAAAACCTAATTTATTCCCATTAGTGATTAATTATATTCACCATTTTATTGTTTTCTCTTGTATATATTTCTCCTCTTATATATAATATGAGGAATAACTTTCCGTCCATGAGGTTTTGAATAAATACACTATTTCTCAATAATTTTGAAAATCAATACTTTCATCTCTTTATTTAACACCGTCCAACAAAATTGTTTATTGACATTATCAATTATTAAAAAAAAAAAATTATTAGACTGAGTAATATTTGTTGAATATAAAAGTTGATTTTTATATTTTAAATTTGATTACTATTTAATTTTATAAATTTAAATTATAAAAGTATTGATATTCAATAAGGAAACCTGGATAAAAAGGAAAATGAAGAAAGAAAGACCAAAAAACCCTTCCATATTTTCAAGATAGGTGAACTGTCTATTTTTTAAAACTATTGAGGCAAATTAGGCCAAATGTCAGACGTAAAAAATATAATCCCTCCTAATAAATTAATAATAAATAGATTATACCATTATCACTAACCGCCCCTATAATTTTATTAAGGAACGGATATATACTAACTCTCACAAATTATACAAACATCCTTTAATTTAACTTTGTCTAACTTCAATTTACCAACTAAGTTAAATATATATATTTTTTTCTAATCCTAAATATAAAACCATAAGCCAAAAAAAAATCTAAAATTAACATAATTAAAATATGAAGCAAAAAAATTATTAAAAAATATAAATTTATTAGACAAAGTTAGCTTAAGGGGTTGATGATTTTATTTTTGAAACTCATGGTGTTGCTTGAATAAATCTGCTAGAGCTAGCAAATATCCGTTGATTAATGAAATTATAGGGGTGTTAGTGTAATATTTCAAAATTCTATGCATTGTAATGTAATATCAAAGTGTTAGGGGCCTAATAAAATAAGTGAAAGTTATGAATCCATTAACTTTACGAAATTGTTAGCTGCTTCGCCAAAAAGAAACACCAAAGGTCTGAAATCAAAACCAATCAATCATTTGAAAAAAAAACTGAAAACAAAAACAAAAAATAGTCTCCGACTGACCGCTCAACAGAGAGCCCCATAGAGAGGAAATTAGGAAATAGGAAGACGAAGAACAAAGAACAGAAACAAAAAATCACGACCAAACCGACTCGTAATTTAAATTTTCTGTTTCCAAAAACTTTTCCTCTCTATACCTTATTATTATTATTTAAAAGCCTATATTATTCAATAATTGACTGTTTACCCTCCATTCTATTTACTTTTTTTTCTTTTCTATTTCTCTTTCTTTGTCTTACTATTATTTTGATTCTTCCTTCTCTTCCTCCTCTCGCCTTTGTTTCAGATCTAACAGTTTCAGAACTTTTACTTCATCTCCGCCGTAGATCTTCATAGTACTCCAAATCAATGGACGATTTTCCGGGTCTTTTGGCCAGAGATTTCGGGTTCAAACCGCAGGGAAAAGCCGCCCCCATGGCACCTTCTCGAGCTAACAATTTCTCAACCGCCAATTCAAGTTTCGGACTCGGATCTAATAATCCACCCGATTTTACTAAATCCTCATCGTTAAAATCGAATCATGTATTCGATGATCACGATCGCGATGGATTGCTATTCAATGATGTCTTCGGTGGGCCACCGAAGTACTCCTCCACTTCGTCGGTGGATTCTCGTGTAGGCAATACGTCGTCGTTTGACTACGACTCGATTTTTAAAGACCAGAGCGCGAAATCGAATAATTCGAAGGCGAATTCGATGCCGTCGTTTGATAAGCCGGTGTACGATGATGATATTTTCGAAGGTTTGCCTGGATTGAAGAGCTCGTCGGCTTCGGCGTCGGCGCCGTCGCCGCCATCGAGCGCGAAGTTAGATGATGTGTTCGCGTCGATATCCGGTTCGCCGCCGAAACAACAACGGAGCGCGAGAGAGAGTTCGCCATTTGATGATCTTTTGGGGAATTTAGGTAAAAAGGAGAACGAATCGAGAGTCAAGAAGGAGAAAGATGCTTCTGTGTTTGATGATTTGTTGCCAGGTTTTGGTCGTAGTAGCTCTCCTACTAGTAACAGGTACTTTTTATGTTTTACATTTTGATTAGAGTGTAACTGTATCAGCATTTTGAGTTAATTACTTCAGATAATTAAATTCTTGTGTGGTGCTGTACTAAAATTTGTTTATATTCAAGTGGCATTCGCGAATTGTGGGCTAATATTAGGTCATGTGATAATTTCTTAGAAACAGTAAAAAACGATAAAATCTAATAATGTTAACATTGTGGAGATAAATGTGAATCTATGTTTTGGGTGTTCTATTGTTGATATGCAAATCTACCAAAGGTGTAGGAAGTGAAAGTGCTGCATAATTATGTTGTTTTTAAACTAGTCATTGTGTTTGGGAGCTCTTCAGCAAGTTAGGGCGAACTAGGTTTGGGAATACTCGGGGTGAAATGTTTGACTCTGATATCTTATTTTGAAGCGTCAACTTTTGTAGAATGGGATTCATTTAAACCTTAGTTGGAGAATAGATAAGGATGTTATACAATTTTCTAGATTTTGCAGTTCAGAAAATTAGCCTTGGGTTTTGACAGATTGATGTTGTCGTCTTAGTTATGATTCAGTGTTCGAATATGGAAGAAAGTTCCATTAAGTCACCGGTTTCACATATAATCAAATTTTTGGTGTTTGGTATATCTACCAAGAATATAATAGAGGTTTGCTTGTGTTCTTCCTTGTATATTGGTATGCTGTAGCTCCTAGAATTTAATATTCTGAAGTGACTGCTCCAATTTCTGGTTTGTACTTTTCTGTGTGACAAGGCACGCGGTAAGAAGTATGCAACATTTTTCTTTCAGTAAAATAGCACATGAACTTTGAACACTCTAGTTTAGCTGCCTTTCTTTCATCATCCTTTTGCCTCTGCCTCCTTTTTTTTTTTTTTTAATCTGATTATGTTTCAGAGACTATACTTCTTGAGGTAACTTCAATTCTTTGGGTGAGAAAACATTGGAATTCTTCTTACTAATTTAAAATTAATTTGTAAGTTTTGAAAAGATATAATGAGTATGTAGAAATATTGTTGAAGTTTCCTGTTAATGATAAAGCTTTATATGCCTGCAGTTTTAATTTTACAATATCTAAACATTATTTATACTGCTTGGGGTAAAAAATTATTTATGCTACCAAAGCAATTTTGCATAATATTGAAATTATTTTTAGCATTACTGCTGCCTTAAGTATATATATGATGTGTTAGTGAAATTAAAAAAAAAAAAAAAAAAATCTTAGAATTCAATTCTTGATGCTGATTTGAAGAATTTGCAATTCTTCAAATTCCTATTAAAATATTACTGGTTGATATATATGTATACATCCGTATCCCCTTTGCACAGGTCAACTTCAGAGTCCAGTCGGTCACAGAAACCACCTTCTAGTTCAACAAAGACAGCGTCTAGTGTGATGGAGGACCCTTTTGTAGTCTTAGGATCAAATTCAACCCCTGTGGCTTCATCAGAGGTATTTACTGATCCACTTGAAGAAATTGGTCAGTTCAGTAGGTCAGGAAGTGCAGGAGTGAATGGTTCATCTGTAGGTGGGGGAACATTTGATGATTTAGATCCTCTTAACAGTCTTGGGAAATCTGTGCCTCCTGTTTCAACTGAGGTCAATAAGAGAGGGAAGGATAGGAGCCCTTTAAGACCTGAAGGCGTGAGTGGTACACAAACTCATCGCAGTAAAGAATCAATTGACAGATCTTCTTTGGAAAATTCTGAGACTTTCTCACAGAGCAGGACACCTGTTGACAATTTTCAGGGATCTCATGATCCCATCTTTGACATGCCAAGTGTTTCAACAGATTCTCGTAAATCTGTTGGCCGAGCTACTTCTCCCCCTTCATACATGAGTACCAGTCCTACTGAGATAAATTCACAGGTCAACTCAACTCCAAGATCTGAAGAGATATTTGAATCATCTGATGACATATGGCTTACTGTGTCAGAGATTCCTCTTTTTACTCAACCCACAAGTGCTCCTCCACCTTCAAGGCCCCCACCTCCAAGACCGACACGACTTTCAAAGTCAGAGTCTTCCACTAATGCAAGAAAGAAGGTTAATGAATTTTCTACTATGTCAAGTTCCCCTCAGTATTCTAGTAGCCCTAGGTCAAGTCGTGCTGCAGCAAGCAGCTCAGTGGCATCACAAATAGATGAACTTGAAGGTTTTGCCATGGGTAGGACCTGGAACAATGCTAATGAATATGGAGAAGTCCCTCCTGCTGAAGATGTGGAAGGTTCTATTGCTGCTGCTTCTGCTGCTGCCATGAAGGAAGCTATGGACAGAGCTGAAGCTAAATTCCGCCATGCCAAGGAAGTGAGAGAAAGGGAGTCTTTAAGGGCTGCAAGAAGTAAAGAATCTGTTCAACTAGATAAAGATGAGAGTGCTACATCAGATACTCAGGAAAGATTAGATCGTGAGAGGCAACAGAGAGAAAAGGAAGAGGAAGAGAGAGAACAGAGGAGACTTGAGAGAGAGAGGGAAAGGGAGGAGAGGGAGAGAGAACAGAGGAGACTTGAAAAAGAGAGGGAGCGAGCTAGGGAGATTGAGAAGGAAAGAGAAAAGGCCAGACAAGCTGTGGAAAGGGCTACTAGAGAGGCAAGAGAAAGGGCAGCTGCCGGAGCTCGCCTAAAAGCTGAAAGGGCTGCTGTTGATAAAGCAAATGCTGCAGCTCGGGAACGTGCAGAAAGGGCCGCTGTTCAAAGGGCACAAGCTGAGGCTCGTGAAAGGGCTGCAGCAGAAGCAAGAGAAAGGGCAGAAAGGGCTGCTGCAGAAGCAAGGGAGAGGGAAGCACGAGAAAGAGCATCTGTTGGTAGAGCTGAAGCCGAAGTACGGCTTAGAGCTGAACGAGCTGCTGTAGAAAGAGCTGCTGCAGAGGCCCGAGAAAGAGCTGCTGCAGAGGCCCGCGAAAGGGCTGCTGCTGCAGCAAGGGCAAACCAGAACCAACAAAAGAATGAAAATGATCTTGAATCCTTTTTTAGCATGGGTTCTCGACCAAGCAGTGCACCTAGGCCAAGGGCCAACTCTTCAGTGAGAACCTGAGCTTTAAATGTCGTGTCCAGGTTTGGATTTATTGTTATGAGCCAACCTGATATTTTGAATTTTTATTGCAGGATCCTCTTTTTGACGTTCCGAGCAAGGGAGGGCCTGAAGTAGGGAGGAGGACCTCCGTTGGAACCTCATCTAATATGAAGAAAGCTTCTTCAGCTACAAATATTGTTGATGATCTTACTTCAATTTTTGGAGGTAGTACTGCAAAATATATCTCTTTCTCTCTCATTTATTGTTGATTGACTGTTCTACTTTCTTCCAAAAGCTGCTGCATCATCAGCTGGAGATTTCCAAGAGGTGGAAGGGGAGACCGAAGAAAGACGAAGAGCCAGGTTGGAACGTCACCAAAGGACTCAAGAGCGTGCGGTATGTATTCTGAATGCTGTACTTCTGTGTAAAAACTCATTAATTGCAACTTATTTTATATGGTCATTTCCAGCTTCTTGTAGTTAAGCATTAGAACTTAAAGTTGAATGTGTATGCTCAGGCAAAAGCTCTGGCTGAGAAGAATCAACGTGATCTCCAAGCTCAGAGAGACCAAGCTGAGAGACATGTAAGTGGGTGCAAGGAAGTTCTTTTTTATTGTCGTGGTGTTTGTTATTCTTCCCCTATCCCCTTGAAAACTGGGTTGGGTTAGTTAAGAGAGACGGTTACATGAAGGCATCAAGTTATGTGGAGTTCTTTGTAATTTGAGTTCGTTATGTGGATAACATTTTGTGAACATATACATTCTATTATTATTTTAGATATTTTTCTGGTAGCTCCGAATATGATTTGCCATCTTTGGTTTGCAGGCTCTAATTTAGGAATGATTGAGGTAGGAAAGTGTTGAATTAGTGATAATGTAAATACTTTTAAATGCTTGTTTTTGCATGGGATTGATTTGCCTGGTGAAGTCTGTCTGAATATCCTTGTCTCTGTTGGTTTTAGTTCTCACTTCTTCCAAAGTGTAACCAATCTTAAAAATAGTTTAGGTTTTGTAAGTTGGTTCTCATAAACTAGTCTCAGATTTACCAAAATTGACTAAGTAAGATATTTATTGGTGGAGTGAGAGAAGAGCATCAATTTTGAAAAATATTTTAAAAGTTAAATCATTTTCTAAATATATGTGTATCTCAAGCATGATTTCATGAAACTAGCTTCTAGTTTTCTTATCACAAAAGCTAAAGTGCTGAGTATTTAGTGCTGGTTATGTATCTTCTTAAGGGAGTACAAATGAAAATATAAAGGGTACATATATAATTCTATGTGTGTTTTGGCTTGGCTGAAGTGTCTCCTGGTTGAGGTTTTTTCATATTGTTTTTCACCTGCCTAATACTGATCTATATTGATTTCAGAGGATTGCTGAAACACTAGATGCTGAAATCAAGCGCTGGGCTGCTGGGAAAGAAGGAAATTTACGTGCCTTGCTAGCAACAATGCAATACGTAAGTTATTTTATATCGTGTATTTTCTTTTGAATGTTTACCATATACTTTTGAAACTGATTGTATTATATTCCTTAAAAAAAAGGTAATATTATATGGACAGATACGCAGCTTCTTGTTGCTATAGCACCCCATAGATTTTCAATAGTTGTGTTTAGTACTTAAAGAGTTCAGAGCTTTGCGTTGTTACCAAGATATCAGGGATTGAGACTCCATTAGGACCACCTACTTGGAATTTTTAACAGAAAAAGGATTTTGACATTTGTCAACTATCTGATTCTGCGGACAATTTTTTATCGATAAACTTTTTATTTTAAAAAGTTACACTAAAGCATTGGTAGGATAACTGCATAAAACAATTTATACTATGTGTGATGATTATGTTTCTGGACCTCAAACTTGTGATAGACATGCAATTATCTGATGAGAGATTGGAGAAGTTTGAACTCCCTTAAGACCCATTTTAGCTCCTAAACTAGCAAAGTTATCATAAGTTTTAATTGGTCAACTCTTATATATTTGGGAATGGAAAAGCGATTATCTTGTTATCAACCGATAATTTCTCCTCATTGCTAGTAGCATAAATGTCCATCATTTTTATTAACTATTTAACCATGCAAGAAAACCTTCACACTCACCTTCGCCTTTCTCACACAAAAACATAATAAGCATGCGTGTATGCATGCAACAGTACACAATTTTAGGTGTTGGTAATGCATTTTTTATTTTCCAATAGATTTACATTTTTCTCTTTCATTAGTGGATGAACTTTGTTTAATTTCTTCTTGTGATCTTGCTACTGTTATCACTAATCAGTCTCCTTAATCTCTTGTATAACAATCAGGTGCTTTGGCCTGAATGTGGTTGGCAACCTGTTTCTTTGACTGATTTGATTACTGGTGCCGCTGTCAAGAAACATTATAGAAAAGCAACTTTATGCATCCATCCCGACAAGGTGCAGCAAAAAGGAGCCAATCTTCAACAGAAATATATTGCTGAGAAGGTGTTTGACTTGCTGAAGGTATAAATTCCTAATTAAAATTTCACATATCATGCCTTCAAGATCTCAATCACTCTACACATTTTGTTTTGTTTTCTGAGTTCAATTATATTTTGTGCACCTGATTTAGATGTCGTTTGTGTTAAGTTATCTCCCTTTCTGGGAGTACAATAATAAGTCAATCTGATGTCCATATGACTAGTGAAAAGTATGAAGTGTTTTCATTTAGTTTGTGTTGAATTTCCCTTTTAGAGTCTTGGTATTGTATGTGAACTATGAGCTTTGATATGCATCCTTTTCTTGTTCTTACATTTCCTCCGTTATATTAAACAGGAGGCATGGAACAAGTTTAATTCAGAGGAGCTCTTTTGATCGCTGTGATGGTTATTTTTCTTGGAACTTGTTGATTTGACTATTACACTATTTCTGGAAGTGGAATTATATGATGTGGCAGATGATTCTCCTTTATGCTGGTATCGTCCACTCCAAATGATGCGGCTGATGAAGGGGACTCGGGAGTTCATTCACCAGATGTTGATGCCTAGGTCCAAGTAGTCTCTTTATTAAGGTTGCTGCAAATGCTGCCCTGGAATTTGCCTGAGAAAGTTGCATCTCTTGTTGGTGTTGGGTAAAAAAAAACTTGGTGCAGTGTCGAGTTCAGTTATCCCATTTGCTTGAGATGAAGTATGTAATTTTTTTGTGTTAATTCTTTATATTATTTTTTTTGTGGTGGGGGGTTTTCCTTGGCAATAGAGTTTGATATATTGAGTGAATACCAATTATGTTCATTATTATCAAACTGACTGTATGAATCGATGTATGATTGTGGAGCTGAGAAGATCATTCTCGACAGAAGTACTGATAATATATATATATATAATTTTTTGTTTCCATTTCATGTTTTGCATACAATATTACAATCTTTGAGTTTGTTGTTTAAAGTTATAAATAATTATTCTTTCCCATTCTATTCTTGGGATGAAAACCATTCCACTATCTAATTGAAATTTGTTTAGCCGAGGATGTTGGGTCTTTTAAGATCATACTCTGCCATTTTTGTGACTGTAAATGGAATGCACCATTATCAGGCATTCTGAAGTCTGAACATAATGATATTCTGTTGTTTAAATAATAACATTCCAAAACAGGAGGGCAAAAATCATCAAGAGAGCCAAACATTGTCTCCCTTCAGTATATAGCTGGCAGATTGTCATTTAGAAGATGTCTTCAATAAGATGACCTATGGTATCTTTGGTTTCACGCACTCCATTGATTATTCATTATTATTATTATTATTATTATTATTTAATATATAATAATAAATCTTTTAAATAAAAAATTTGACTATCAAAAACATCTAAAACTGGCCCGCCAAAATAGTTACTGACACTGTTGCTAATGGTGCATCTAATGACACAATCAACACTATTGGGTAGATCTTTATTCTTTAGGCAATTATTCAATGGGTCAAAGGGGTGTAAGTCAGCCAAGCTGCTCTCGGATTCAGTTCGAGCGGCTCGCATGCTAAGTCAAACCGAGCTCGAGCTCCCTGATACTCGGTTCGACTAGCTTGCCAGCTTAATCTCGAAAAGGGATACATGCTAATTTTGCAACTATCAGGGATTATGGTAGTTTACCAATTTGTAAAAAATGACAACCACACCCCATATTTCCAAATATGTAAAAATTGAATTTAAGGGTTTGATCTGGATTCTGCTGATGTTGTGTATGTGGCGCCAACCCTCGATTTTTGACATTTCCAATTGTTGGTGAGTTCCTTCATGTCACACTCTCCCGTGCAGGTGACGACTTCAGATTAAGGGTTTATCAGGTTTTATGATGAAGTTTTGGGTTGGATTGTGTGGGATTTGATTTGGCTTTGCTGATTCGTTGTGGTGCTTGCGAGCTCGATGTTGTTGCAATCAGCATCGATTGGAGTGTGTGTCGTTGAGTAGTGGCACTTGTCGGCGGATTTTGGGTTTTGGTGTTGTAAATTGTGGTTTTTTGGATGAGTTTTTTGGTTTTTGCTTGTGGTTTGTTTGTTAGATTGGGTAGATCCATGGCAAGGATCCCTCGACCTGGTTGGGTTGGGTTTGACGCCGACGATATTGACAGTGTGTGGAGTGGTGGTGTTATGTTCGACCATAGTGGGTCGAGCGACACCTACTCGAGCTTCGGCTTGAGCTCACCTTTTCTCTTGAGAGCTTGAGCTTGAGCTTGAGCTTGAACTCAATGCTTAAAGCTCGATCAAGCTTGAGTTCGACAATGTAGCAACTGATCTGAGCTCGAGTAGCCCAACAGTTGGCTCGGTTCAACTCGATTACACCCCTAGGTCAACACCATTGGCTAGATCTTTGAGCAATCTTGCCAACGGTCCAAACAAGGAAGTCGCTACAGAAAACGTTTCATAGGACAAATTTAAAAACCTTTGACCTATCTTTTTTTGACTAAACAACGTAGTTGATAGCTTCTCTGTTTATACCGTCAAGTAGATTGCCCAGAAATTTACCCAATAGTGCTGAACGAAGAAATCCATCCAACAGTGCTGAAGGACACCAATGACTAAATCGACCACTTCTCCGTTTTTTTAATTATTCAAATAATTAAGATATTAAAAGAATTACTTAAATGAAACTGAATTTTGAAAAAAAAAAAAAAAAAACTAAAAAGTTTTGAAATATTTTAGTACCTTATAATATAAACAGATGGGGAGCCGTTTTCTTTCAATTAGTGCACTAGTTTTTCTTGTTTATTTCAGTCCAATGCTGAAGAGATTTTAGCCAAATGGCTGACAAAACATCCACAGCCGCCTTTTATCCCGTTCAATACCAAACGGACCCAGTGTGCTTCAGTTGTTTAAGTATCATCTAAATTTATTTTCCGCCATGAAAGTACATGCATTTACCAGCTCTAAATAAGCAAACATCATCCTGGTAAACAACTTACACGCTTGTAAATGAATATTGATATAGGTTGTATATCAAACAATAAAAAATGAAAGTTATATAAAGTGTTAATCTGGGATAAAAATTTACTAGAAATGAACGTTAAACTTTCATATGAGAACAAAGAAAAAATTATATCACCACCTCGAATGTATTGCAACCCTGACAAACGATATACAATGCAGTTAAACCAAAACTTGTCTCAGAGCAGAATTTCGGTTTTAATCTGCAACCCAGATCAAGATGTTCTGTATGGGCATCTGCTAGTCGCACCCGCAATATATCCAAATTGACCTGAAATGTCAACAAATCTAGTTATTTAAACAGATGTAATTCAACAGGAATTCCAATCAACTATGACAACAGTAATTCTTTAATTTTATTTATGTTTTCCCTTCACTTCTCAATCCATGCTTTAAAAAATAATGCTACACATTCCTGAGTAAAATCTGACAATTCTCTTCTCAAGAGAGACGTCATTGTATGTGGCATCATCATCATCATCTAATCATTTACATTCAATAAAAATTTTGGGATATTACTTGGAATGTATAGCATTACTCTACTTCTATTTTCAATAATATATAAAATTACCCTCCATAGCAAGCTTAAAAAGGAATAAATATAATATGGAATGGTGAAGCATCCAAAATCAACTGGAAAATTCCTGGAATAAATTTATATCAAGGAGAACCACTAAGGCACTACATGTGATAAAAAGTCAGGATTATTAAGCCATTTTTTTTATTGGTAAGCATGTTTAGATAAAAAAACTACAAAGCTAATGTAATATGACAGTTACCTCTACAAGGTTGCCGAAAAATTGAGTTATAGAACTTCTTAATTTAAAACTGGAAACAACTTGTTTGCACTAAGATGATATATCAGTCAGACTTGGAACAAATGATTTTCCTACACTCTTAATAATTACGTAACAAAAGGTACATAGGAATTCCAAAAGAATATGGTGCATGGTCACATGTGAGAAAAAATTGGACAGTATAGAAATGAAAGGGACCTCATTGTCTTTGCTGAGCTGAAGTTCACAGCCACTGCAATAAATAAGTTGGCGGTTTTCTTGCAACTTCCCTTGCTTACAGATAGGGCACCACGTCTCTTTCTGCACCTAGCAGCATATCAGATATCTTGTTGTTTGCATTTCTCCCAGACTCACATAGAAGAAAAGCAGTGCTAAAGAAACTTTATGATGCTTAAGGATCTCATGCTAGATCATTCTACTTTTTTAAAAATAAAAATAAAAAAAAGAAAAAAAAAAGAAAAAAAAAGAAAAAGAAAAAGAAACGAAAACAAAATAGGGGCATACCTTATCATTCAATTGCATATGTTCATATACTGCACGAGCCAAGTACTCATCTTCTTGCTCCTCCCATGTTTCAACATGGCTTTCTTGTTCTGCAAAGGGCTATGAATAAACTTTCAAGCTCAAAAAGTGATTTCACCAAGTATAAATTCCTAGGACACACAACACTGAAGGCCATGAAAGAATTAATTTGGTAACAAATTGAGCAATCTCCTCTCCTATGTATATATGTCTTGGAGAAATAAGTAGATGCAAACAATGCAATACAAGATGGCCAAGCAAATTTGGAAAAGATGAGGCAAATTTGGTGACAAATGAAAGCTGCGAAGTTCACAATATAATGCAGAGATGAAATGGAGAAGGGAAAACAAGAATGGAGATGAAGTAAAGAGGAATACACTATTACAGGTAGATGACTAAAAAGCTAACTAATATCTATGATGAAAGTGAAAACAGTAGCACATCTACATAAACTTTCACTTATAATTTAATTGCATTTAAACACATAATTTCTTAGCTTTCAACAGTCAGGAGATTTTTTTATTTTCCTAAAATTTGTACAAGAACAACTATATTTCACCTTTTGTGGTTGGTTCAGCCCGGAGATCCTCATAAAAGATCCTTTGCATCTCTATTAATATCTCTTCACATTCCCCTTGGTAAGCACTATGAAGACCATCATATTCCCACAATGTATCATCAGTTCTGGTGGTAGGAGCTGATGACTTCAAAGAGTCATTCGACGACAAGTCTTTAAATTTTTTCAGTTCATCAGAAACTATGTTTTGAAAAGCAGATTTGATAAAGTCCTGAAACCACAAAAAGGAAATATTAAAAGAAAAACTTTTTAACAAGCTAGAGAACTACATAAATCCTATACCACAAGCCAAAAACCTCAAAAAAATAATAAAATAAAATATTCAATTTAGATCAATATCCCAAGTCCAAGAACATGAAATCCAAATTTTAATAGCAAAAACAGTTTTCAATCCTAAAGAAACACAATACAAAGGTTAAAACTAATCACCCTTCACCAATATATTGATTACCATCAATAACTACACAAGAAGTACGTAACAAAATTCATAGAGTTAATTATTTAATTCACAACCTTGACGGGGCACAACGCTTCACATATTAAACCATTCAAGTAAAAATTCACTATTTTAACAAAATTTTGAGGAACCTCATAATAGTTTAAAATATTCATAAGACAAAAAACATCATATAATCAATAAATTTCAGAACATAGAACAAAAGAGAAATGAAATAAAATAGTTAAATTACAAACAGAACCTTGTGATTGAGAGATTGAGCAGCAGGCAACCTCATTTTCCAGAGCAAACGGGTTCTGTCCTCTCGTACCCTCTTGTAACAATTCTCTCTTAACTACAACCAAAAGAAAAAAAACAAAAAACAAAAAAAAAAACAGTTCACAATTGTTTGATACTTAAAAAAAAAAAAAGGGAGTATATAAGAGAAAAGAAAAGAACCTTGGATTTCCAAAGGGGGTAATTGTTGAAATGGGAATTGGGCTTAAGAGAAGAGCGGTTGGGAGGATGGTTTGGCTGC